AAAAGAATATCCTTATCTTTTCTACAGTGGAGAGTAGGAGAAAAAAGGACTTAGAAAATTTCTACTTTTAACTAGTGCAGTCAAATTTTGCCTTACTTGTCTGATTCAGTTTGCTGTCATTGGCAGGAAGTTTCTTTGGGAAAGAGATGTTTAGAACAAAGATACAAACAACCTACTTAAGGGGCTATATCCAGAGCCAGTTCTGAAATGGCTAATATTTATTTTCCCATTTTGTCATTGAGTAAATGGAGAGATTCAAGTTCTCTGTCTCCATACACCTGAAGAAAAAAATAGTTATATTTAATTTTATACTAACAAATGTTACTTGAAATCTTATAGCTTCCATTTTCTGACATTTATACAACAATAATAGCAGTTTTGCAGTGAAACATCATTTTAAATTTCCATGAACATATATAGTAAGCTACTATTATATGCTATTTAAATTGATACTGTGTTCATCACTATTAATACTTTTATTATTAGTGCTGACTTGTGCTTCCACGTTATCAGCAGTGTTCTATAGAAGTATAAGAAGCTATTAGCCAATAATGTGCTAAAAAATAAAACTGTGAAATAAGTGTTAAAAACTCTACCCATTCTTATAAAAATGGGATAGATTTGGTGCTAGTGGGGTATGGAGTACCAGGCCAAACAGGCTATCTGGACAGGTGTGCTCCCTAAAAGCATATATTACATGAGCTAAACTCCAACTCTGGGCCAATGCAGTGTCTTAGCTCCTCCATGCTACCCACAGGCTCATTCAGCTTCAGAGTGAATAGGATACATCATCCCTCGTGAAAGTCTGGAGCCAGTACTGAAGAGATAAGGGAAAATGAGATGATTCCAGAATCTTTCTGAGCCTAGAATATAAACATGATTTCTAATTGAAAAATAGAGCAAACAGTGCTGCTGTTTTCTAAGAAGGTGACAAGAAGGTGGGGATGAGTACTTGCAGTTTCAAAGCTGCAGATCTTATACGTTCTAAGTCTTTGACCTACTCTGAATCGAATTTTGTACATAATGAGAGGCAGGAATCTAGCTTGAATCTTCTGGATATGGATATCCAGTTTTCCCAGCATCACTTGTTAAGGAAGTTGTCTTTTTTCCAAGGTGCATTTCTACTCCTTTGTCAAGAATCAGATGGCTGTAGTTCTGTGGTTGGTTTCTGTGTCCTACATTCTGTTGCGCTGGTCTGTGTGCCTATTTTTGAAGAGATCTTTCATCTCCTTATTAGGTTGACTTCTAGGTATTTTTGTCCTTCCCCCTTTTTTTTAAAGGTGAATAGATTTTTTGATTTTTTAAAACTAGTTTATTATTCATGTTTAGAAAAGCTGTTGATGATTTAACACGGATTTTATATCCTGAGAAAAAATGACACTTCCCTAAGTCTTTAATTCTTTCTTTATTCCAGTGATTAAAATACATATACATATAGTATTTTACAATTAATTTTCTCTTTGTATTTAAGGTTATTTTCCCTGTTCCATCTTGAGGAGCTCGATATTTCCTACAATGAAATCACTTCTATTCCAAATGACATCCAGAAACTCAGGTATTATGGAGGTAGTAAATACGTAGAAAGTCATTAACCCCCATGAGAATAGTTGGTCATGATTGTGACAGAGAACATTAAGTTATTTCATGAATTTGATTGCCTGCCATAACATGTAATGTGTGGGGTCTGGGGAGATAGCTCAGTGCTCTAAGCTCCTGCCTGACAACTGCAACGGCCCAGGTTTGATCCCCAGTACTGCATGCCGTGCTGACCACCGAAACCAGTTATGGTGGTGCATGTCTATGATCCCAGTGCTGGGAGGCTGAGACAGGAGGATCACTATAAATCTGAGCTGCATAGAGAGACCATATAACAAACAAACAAATAAATAAATAAGCATGAAAAATAAAAATTAATTTTTAAAAATGTGATTATGAAATATGAAATTTATCAAAAATGTAGTTTAAATGATTCATGTATACTATTTTAAGCTATATTTTCAATAATTATTTGAAGAATAATACTATGATAACTTATGACAAACTATTTTTATTCATCTTTTCTGTGTGGATGCCTATGGCTCTTAGCCACTTCTTTTATATACAGAATATTCATAATGTACATTGTAATTTTAATGCTAAAAATTACACTAAGAAATGTAAATTTTTTGAAAGTCTGAAATTCACCTATGTCCTTCTGAGTCAATTCCATGCTATTTTGATTATAACTTTAGAACAATTTTAATAACTAATAGTGAGGTTACTGTTCAGTAATAATCTCGTGACTATTCTGTTACGATCTTGATCCTTAACATTATTTCATATAATTCCCAACCTCTCTTTCAGTACACATAAATACAAACTTGGCCTTTTGTTTACAGTTGTCTTGACTTTACACAAAAGTTTTGAAAAATTTTGCATTTGACAATAACAATTTTGCATTGACAATTTTTAATTCTAAAACATAATATAGAGGCCGGGAAGATGGCTCAGTGGAATAAGCACTTCCCTGGCAAGCACAAGGGCCTAAGTTCAATCCCTGGTTCCGCCAAAAAAAAAAAAAAAAGTGAATAAAAAGTAATATATTTCTTTTGTTTCAGATTTTATGTTCTTCATAAGAATTTATGACCAATTTCAAATCTTAATAAGCTTTTATATATATTTTATAATTTTGTTGCTAGTACAAACATGATTTTATTTCCACTTCTATCTAAATATTGCCAGGATAGGGCTGGTGAGATGGCTCAGTGGTCTAAAGCACCTACTTAGAACAAGCTTAGCAAAGCACAGGGACCGCGGTTCAATCCCCCAGCACCACATGCCAGCCAGCCCCGCCCCCTGGTGGGCTGAGCTGGTCTCACACACACACACACACACGCACGCACGCACGCACGCACACACACACACATACATAAATAAAATTAAAAAAAAATTTTTTTTAAATAAATATTGCCAGGATAAAACAGAAAAACTATGTACATTTTTGTTTTTTGTGGTACTGGGAAATTGAAACCAAAGCTTTCCAATTGACCTACCTACCCACCACCAGACCTTCATAAAATTTTTTTTGAGATAGAGATCTGCTAAGTCACTGTATTTTAAGAGGAGAATTCAGCATATTTATATTTGTTATGACAGATCATTTAATTTTTGCCTTCCATTATACTTTGTGTTTACTACTTATTTACTTTCCCTTTTACCTGCCTCCTCTTTTTCACTTCCTCCTATGTTAGTTTTGGAGTCTTATTGTACTTTCTTAAATTCAGAATCAAATATAATTTTCTTAAATATATATATATATATATATATACACACACACATATATATATATATATATATATATATATATATATATATATATATATATATATATATATTATTTAGGACAGAGTGTACAGGGTCTCACTGCATAGATCGAACTCGTAGTGATCTTCCTGTTTACAGCCTCCTAAGCACTGGGATTACAGGCACACACCACCATGTCCAGTCTCAATTGGCTCTCAGTATGCCCCAGGGGTGGGGGCAGCAAGGCAGGACTGGGGATTGAACTCCCGGACCCTGCATCTGCCTGAGCAGACACTATAATCCACTGAGCTATTTGGTCAGCCCTATATAATTTTCTTAAATATTTTTTGCTAGTCCTTCATAATTGTCTGCTTTCCCAGACAATTTGGTACTCGATCCCCAATACCAAAAAAAAAAAAAAAAGATTTAAGATACTTTTATTTTCCTACTTTCCCTTCAAACCCTCCCTCCTGCACTTTACCTAACTCTAGATTTTATTGAGCTGATTTAGAAATTTATGATACTGATTCTCACTAGTTCTGTCCATCTCTTTATCAAAGAATACTTGTCATTTAACTCTCAAAATCATTTTCCATATATGTATATGTGTGTATGTGTGTATATATATGTATGTAAATGTAGATAGATAGATAGATAGATAGATAGATAGATAGATAGATAGATAGATTTAGATTTATTTGGTACAGTGTCTCACTATGCAGCTCAGACTCATAGTGATCCTCCTGTCTCAGCCTCCCCAGCCCTGGAATTACAGGCACACGCCACCACACCTGGTCTTGATGGCTGGCTAAGCGGGAGGCTGGCACAGCATGCAGTTCCAGTGATCAAACCCAGGTCCTTGCACTTGCCAGGCAGGCACTTAGACCGCTGAGCTATCTCCACAGCCTCCGTTTATATTTAAATGCATGTGTTTCCAGAGTCACTGCTCGCTGCATTTCCGCTCTCCTCTTTCATCTTATGTTGAACATGGAGAGATGCTGCTCTTGATTCCCTGGTTGCTCGGTAGTGCTCCCTAAGGTTTTTCCTCAGATGGAATCTCTGAATCATTCACTGCAGTGATCAAATGAAGAATGGGATGTGGACAGTCTTGCCTTGGAGCCCTTTCCTGTGCAGTCTCGGCCAGCGCACCCAGTGATGCCAATCCTATTTTTTTTTCTCTGTATGTGACTCTGATTTTCATCTGGAAAGATTTAAGATTCTCTCATGATCATTGTTCAATCTTCAGGAACTTTATTGTATCATATTTATTTATTTATTTTCTTTTTAACACTTTCTTTTTGGAATTCAGTGAACTCTTAACCTGCCATCCCAAATTTTTTTCTTAAATACGTTTAGTTATGCCTCTCCACCTGTTTTGTTTTCTCTTCTAAAATGCCTCTCATTTACATGCTAGGTTTCCTGGATCTGTAGTCCAGGGCACGTGTATTTTTCTTCATGGTTTTCCTTGTGTTTTTGTCCATTCTTTCTGTTAAACTTCTAGTTTCTTTTTATTGGCATATGTTTGTGATACATAATAATTATATTCATGTTGAGGAATTGGTACATGCATGTAATGCGGTCACTTTTATTTTCCTTTCCTCTCCCTTCTTAGCTTCCCCACATCTCCTTTCTCTCTCCACAAACTTGGTGCAGAGTTTTGAGTTACTTCTTCTACCTTGCTTCTTACTTGTATGCCAATGAAGACTATGTTCTTCTTTTTGTCCCTCTCTATAAATTTTACTTTCACAAATCCTACATTTCTTACTTAAGAGAGTCTTAAGCATATGTATAGGCATGCATCCAGTCTGTGTTTAAATCTGCATTCGTGTTTCAACTAGCCTTCTCTGCCTTCATCTGTCTCTCACAGAGAGTGCTTGTCTTGGGACCGTGGTTCTCTGCATTGGGTTTTCCTCTATTGTCCTTCCCTCCATGTGTGCAACCACAGAGTACCTCCCAGAGCACCAGAAGCATCAATCAGTGCTGCCCAGGAGGAAGCGTCTCAGCTCCCACCCCAGGGCTCAAGCTGCAAGGGCTGCCTAAGCATGGAGCTCATCCAGGTTTTTTGTTTTTGTTTTGTGGCCAGCTCACAGGGCCAGAGTGGCATATGTTGCGAGGGATCAAACCCCAGTCCCTGCATATTTCCATAAACTTGTCTAAGCAGGTGCTTTAGACTGCTGAGCTATTTCGCTGGCCTCTAGCTCTTCCAGTTTTGAGAGTTATTTGCCTGCTTCTCTTCTTCAAACTTATTGAAGAAGAGAGAGCACCTGAACTGCTTCATTCTCCAAGAATAACTAACTCAGGCAGGGGCAGCCTCCCTCACCAGGGACTGATCAGACCCTTGTATACCTGTTGAGGGGTTCATAAGGGTGAAAGAAAGACAAGGACAAAATTTCAAGGGGGACCAGGAGGAAACTTGCTTCCAGTGAACGAGCTCACCGAGCTCCACAATCAACTTATTTTTATAGCCAGCAAGAAGTACAGGGGGTGGGATCATGCATCATTCTTGACACCATTAAAGATTTTGAGACGTAAAAGACAGATTAAACTTCAAAGGAGGGAAAAGTGAAAGGACAAGCCCTTCTCCTTAACTGGATCTCAGTGCTGGTTAGCAAGGAGGTCGCTTGCTCTCTTTTGTCCTCAGCAGATATTGTCTTAACCTGAGGGCACTGTGCTTATGAGTTTTCTACCTCACAGCCAGAAAATGTAGCTTTCCATGCAGTTTTCCATTCCCCAAGTGAGACAACACCTGCGTCAGGACTGGGATGTCAGCCATCATCTTAACTCTTACTCAGCCAGGTCCCCAATACTCTCCTGGGTTCTGGGGGAAACTTCATTAATTGAGGGCATGGGCCCTCAATCATGTTCAGTCTGAATGTCTACATGGGGCTGGTCCTGGTCACCCCAGACTGCTGTAACAGCATATCATATGCAAGGACCTAGTGAATCACAGAAATTCATTTCTCATGATTCTAAGGCTGGAAGGCCCAAAACTGAGTCACATACAGAGTGTCTGCATGTCTAGTGGGGACTCACTTCTTTGTAGACAGCTGTCTTCCCATTTTCAGCTTACATGATGAAAGAGGTGGAGGGTCTCACTAGAGTCTCTTTCATAAGGGCACTAGTTCTGTTTATGAGGGCTCTGACCTGACCTAATCAACTCCTAAAAACTCACTTCCAAGGGCCATAACTTTGAAGTGGTATTTCAAGACAGGATTGGGGGTGGAATAAGCATCTAGACCACAGCAGGCCTCTCTGCTACTGATTTCTGGCCTT